CATCAAATTAACGGCCACCGCGCGCGAGTGCATGCAAAAATCGATAAGCCAATCACCTATCGATTGCGTAAATATCCCGACAAATGACAAGAAAGCACGCTTGTAGCTCGCGTTTGCGTAGTACGATAACGCGCTCATTGCTATAACAATGATTGGCAACTGCCTAATACGTACACAAGAAAATGGGCTTATTACAAAAAAAATAAGTAGTTAGTTATGTACGTTAAACTCTAAAGTGTTATCTAGGAGACGGGAGGCGTTCTCTGGGACCAATAGTCTATTTGCCCGACGTTTCGAACTCTCCCGCGAGCCCATTGTCAACGAATGAAACCATTTGTAAGGGCTGAAATCCGGAGAAGTTCTGAATTATTATTAAGGTGGAAAATGTGACAGAAGCCAGCTTTCAAACACCGAGCCTACGTGAGTTAGCCGATCTCTATTTGAGTACGAAGTATTTGAAGGTGTTGAATGTATAAATTTTTAGTAAAAAATTATCGAGAAATAGTAAGAATTATTTGGTCAGCAAATGAGGACATGCTCTTAGATTTTTATAAATGAGATTGGGATGTTGTTCGTGCCATCTGACTACGACTGACTAAGTTGGCATATCGGTTTCTGAATATTTATAGGGGCAGAATTCATGGTAGTGAGGGATGCATGGTATGACAAAGATATTGGGGGATGGGGTTGGTTCCAAGAATAAAATGATTTATAAAGAAGGAATTTAGCAATTCTTCTTTCCTTTTAAATTTGCGAAAACTCCCATTGAAAAATTCACAAGATGAATTGGCGAACATAGGTTTATTTTCGATAAATTATCGTCAGGTCTTTAAATTTATATGGTGATTAACTAAATAAACTATGCGGGTTGGTATAAAAATAGTGCGGTTGTTAGAAGAAGTAGAGGGGGGGGGAAAGGGGTCAAAAAATCGGATCAGCGTTAGAGGGGACTGGAAGTCGGCCGAAGTGATAGACTGCTGGCTGTTGGATTAGCGGCTTTTGCCCATGGTAACGGCGACGCCGCGACGAAG